ATAGATTGGACATCCGCAAAAACTACTTCACAGTTAGGGCGGCTAGGAGCTGGAACCAACTTCCAAGGGAAGTGGTGCTGGCCCCTACCCTGGGGGTCTTTAAGAAGAGGCTGGATGCCTACCTGGCTGGACTCATTTGAGTCCCGTTTCTTGCTTTGGGGTTTTGTTGTTCTCCCGCCCTGGCGGGGGGTCGGGCTAGAAGATCTACTAGGTCCCTTCCGACCCTAAATCTATGAAACTATGAATTGTAGGTTGCCAAATTTGGAAATCAGTCCTGTTTGCAAAATGTATAATCAGGATATCCCTGATCCTCAACTTTTCAAATAGCGTTTAGTTTTATGCCCAATAGTAATGAAGTTCGAAAAGTTTTTAAGAAAATCCAGATCCACTTAATACAGTAAACACGGAAATATACATACCCTCCAAACTCACATTATACTAATATTTGCCTGGGGGCTTTGGGTATTTACAATGATATGTCTGTACCATGATAACAAAAATAAATGTGTGTGTTCACAACAAAACCATTGTCTAAATTAAAGAACTTGAGTAATGGGGCTTGTACCCTGGCTTTAAATCTCAAGATCTTCATAGACTGCATAGACATTAGGGATGGAAGGGACCTCGGAAGATCATCAAGTCCCTTCACAGGCAAATTATAGATTGCCTCCCTGAAAAGTATAAAAACCTGAAACCATTTCTGAGTTAAGTCCTAGATGTTTCTGAGCTTATAAATTAAAACCAGGTATGCAACCTAGCGTGGAACCATGATATTTATTATAAAATATGAAATTGCCTCCACCAGTATATTTCAAGAATCTCTTATGACGGGCCATTAAATACCAATTAAATTCTTCCCTAACCAACCCCAGGCAAGAAGAACTTAATTCCAATCTAAAGGGGAAAAAAAAGCTGACAGAACTTAAAACATATTTTCTCTATTTATGAACTGTAAAAATGCATAGTATTCTTATTATAAAATAACTGTTTTATACAATCCTCTTATATAAAACATGTCTGATTTGAAAATAGGAAAAGAGAGATCCAGCTGAGAACCTGCAAGCTAAGTTTCCACCTGCTAAAAAATGACTGGTTACAAATAGCTGCTAAACATGTTGTATAATGAGAGGGCCAATGTCAAAGCCAGCATGGGGACAGCAATCTTTCTAAAAGTGCTTTGTTCATGTTCCTCAACCTTGACCTGGAAAGAATACTTGTAGAGATACTACAGTATTTCAGTCCCCATGCTTATTAGGCCATGGGTTTCCAACAAGGACATAGCTGGGTATGTGAGATATGGATAATTGGTCTACTGGGAATTACCCAGAGATCAACAAGTTATTTCACATGCCTGAATGCCACTGAATAGTTAATTTATGTTTTATGAACACTGTTAGCATACAAAGTACCTTCCTCGTGGCAGAATAATTTAAACACTCAAAATGTTGGTTGTTATGGGTGAAGCTATCAGTACTACCCAATTCTAAGGCTGCCCAACACTTCCCATTTTAAGATCTGGTTTTCAGTTGCCATCACTTACTCAAACTTTAGCCATCTGGTATAAAATTTTCCATAGTGGGCCTCTGCCTTATGCTAATTTTTTAATGTATCCACCAAAATGGTTCAGCCATTTCTAACATGGCTTGGAAAATTGCCTTTCCCATTTAAAAACATTCTGAGAACACTTCCTTTCGGAAGCTCTACTGACCCTAGGGCCTAGGCTTTGGATCCACACCCTGAAGTGAAGGCAGGTGGTTCTTATGTCAGGGCTGTGCCTTCTGCTGTTCTTATAAAAATCTGGACAAGCTATAAACCTCTGAAAAATTATAGTTTATATATGCTCAGTAGTGACATGCTGCAAAGTCGCAGCTAAATTCCATGAAGGTCCTGTCTGCACGGATCATGCTTTGGCATGGTACTGTACAGGACTTCCCTTGTAATTTCAGTGCCTGGCCACTGTAGGCTGGGATGGATCTAAGCCTGGACACTGAATTAATAGCAATGAGTCTCTCTCCTGCACTGTCAACACACCCTGCTCGGCACAGGCAGAGGAGGAAAGTGTCCAAAGTGAATGCACAGGGAACAACAGATAAGCCAGGCAGGGACTGTAGAGGGAACACATTGAGACAAATAACCTGGGGGTAGCAGACTTCACCTGGAGACTTGGAAGGGGAAGTGAGGAAAAAGGGACTGGGAATTGGGAAGAGCAGGCTGCCACTGGATGAGAAGGAGATGGTGAGTCAAGAAGGGAAGTGTGGATAGGGGACTGAGATCAGATGAGAAGCTCTGGGGAAGAGACTG